AGCAGTAGCAAGTAGCAGTAGCAGTAGCAGTAGCAGTAGCAGTAGCAGTAGCAGTAGCAGTAGTAGTAGTAGTAGTAGTAGTCGTAGTAGTAGTAGTAGTAGTAGTAGTAGTGGTGGACGACATGAAGCTTCATGAAACATTCACTCGTGATTTCGCTTCGAACATTCGCATAAAGGACTTAAGCCTAAGCTAATGCAGACAAACATCACTAACATCACTGCCAAAACAGCTTGACGTTAACGTTGACATGCCAAACAAAGAACAAAACCGAGTCAGCCCGGGATTTGAAAGAGGCTATCAAAATCAAGCATGCAGCAGGCCGCAACGCTATGCTGCCACGATATGCCAGGCGGCACCTCACAGCGTCACAGACGTGATCGCCGAGTGTGACGATTTCGATGTCGATGTCATCTTCAATGTCGCTGTGGTCGGTAGCAGTGGTACCGGGAAGAGCTGCCTACTTCGGCGTTTCGCACAGGCCCTGGCACTAGTTTAACAGCTCTGAGCCGAGTTTGCAGGACTTGGGCAACGGAAGTGCCAGAACTCATGTGCGGTTTGTTTAGAAAGTTGCTTGCTGGGGACTAGCCGTTCACTGCTAGAGCAGACAAGACTGGGCACGGAGGTGGCCGGGTATCCATTCGGACCGGCGATATGAGACGAGATTCGGGAGAGAAGTTTGGTCGAACCCGAAACCACCTGGCGCACCGGCCATGTGGCCAGCTAGCTATGAGATGCCTGAGTGTTCATGCACTGGAATCAGGGGCAGGGATAGATTCGGCTGAGAAATAACAGAGGTTTTATCGAGGCGACCACAAACAGATGCTCTGTAATTTTCAACTCTTGACAAGTTTTTAGCCCGAATCCAGGTTCGATCTCGTTGGGACCCACCATGTTCCCATTTGGGATATCTGGTCCCAGCTTTCTACCCGGGCTAACTGCAAGTAACGGTGTTTCGAGCCCACCATGCCGCAAGGACAAGAACCAGAGTCTGTGAAAACCATTGCCTTTGGGTGTCTCAGAGTGTCAGCTGGAGAATAATTAGTCACAGTTGCCGTTCTGGCAGGGATCCTTCAATGATGAGCAACTTGGAGCTACATCGGTTCATGTCTCTGCACACCTCCTCATCACTGCTCAGTGGGTGTGCGAAATTGTTTGTAGCGTTGTAGAAGAGCAGAAGTCGGGAAGAAACCCAGAGAGGCCTCCATGCCAACCCAAAACCGGGGTGCCATTGCCTCAGCTGCTTCTGCTACGATTGCAAGTGCCTTTACTGGGACTTCCCCTCCGACTACAAACCCTAAAAATAACTAGACCCAAAGCCTGAAAATGTCTAAGATTCCAGGGAGGCAAATATATCTCTAGTTAGAGGTAGGATACTGGACAGGTCTATAGGGTTGACGAATCATTGTTTGATACTGATTGATGTGGTTAGGTGGCTTGTTGTTGATGGGTTCGTCACGCATGAAGTTGTTCGGATTTATCGGCAATCATGTGTTTCAGCGCGATCGTTTTGATGAAGCTCATGTGGGGGCTTGGTTCATGCGGCTGTAGCCATTGATTCCCATAATTCCGATAGATGGAATATTCTCTTCATTTTTTGATGGTAATCCTAGACCTGCTCGTCGTGAAGCCTGCCTTGGCCGTGCCGAGTGAGCCTCGAAATAAAACGCCTTACGCCTCAAATCCAGCGAGTAGCTTAACCCCAGAACTGTTGGCTTTCCGTGAGGCGTTTCTCGGCACACTGCGTTGCAGACACGTCCTAGCTTGGCCGGAGGCAACACAATGACAACCAATGACAGCCATGAAGACGACTCGCAACGAAATGATGCCAGTGTTCCACCAAGGTACAGGCGCACGCTGGTCACGAGCTTCATCGAAAAGAAATATCGCATTCCGGGAGGCGACGTCACTTTCCATTTGTGGGACACTCCAGGCGGACGGATGCAGTTTGCTGTACTTGTGATCTGTCGTAATGTAAACGAGCGGAGTCCCCCCGCAGAAAAAGGAGCACTACACCAGGCCACGCGGCCGCTACCAAACCACTGCCACCGACACCGCCTCACCAACCGCACCTCACCCTCACCAACTCAAATCCCACCCCAACAAAACCCATCCACCTGCGGCCATCACCACGGCGAGAAGGTACGAGAAGGACAACGGCAGCCACGACCACTACAATTATCTTGTCTGGCTTTGTAGTCCTCTCTTGGAGGGGTGGCTGTTGGACGGTCAGCTGCTGGCGATACTCTGCGAAGTCATTCGCAAAAACTCTGTTTCATTGCATTTCATGCGTTTGCATTCTGTTCAATAATGTTTCTTGATGCGACTGGCCTTGCCTGAGCCCTAGGCCTTCGAGCCCATTCGAGCCGCCAACAGCACAATCCATCAGCGTGCTTTCAAGCGCTCTTGAAAGTCGGCCTGACTCTCGCCAGACAAGCATGATATTTTTCACAAACTTCTGACAAACCATCAACTCGAGATTTCAAGACAACCAAGTTTGTGGCAACTTCTTGAAAGGGCTGCCCAACACAGAAACATCTTTCTGGAAGGTCAGGTGTTGGAATTGAGTGCCGTTTGAATTTCATTTACGTTTTTTTGATGTTGTGATTGATTCTTGCCCATTGCTGTTACATGTTGACCAGATTGGCGTTTTGAACTGTGTTGATCTTGTTTTTTGAAGTAGGCTTCGAGTTTCTTTAGAAGTCGTTTACATTTGGTTTCGTGATGTTTTGGAGCTTTTGGATTTGTTGTTTTTCGCTGGTCTTGATGTGTTTGCAGTTTGTTTTTAGATGTCTCGATGTTAGGAGGGAGTTGAAACTGCTCCGATGCTGTTTCTTGGAACGTTGTTGGATATTTTGCATGTTTTTGGAATGTTTGGGAATTGGTTTGGAGGTTTCTCCATTTATTCCGATCCGCCTGTTCTTTTCAAGTTTGTATGTTTTTGACATTTTCTGGCAAACCTTGGACAGTTTGGAGGGCTTTGGGAGTGCGCTTTGGATGATTGTGAGCTGTTTGATGCTCAGTGTTTGTTTTTTTCGTGGTCTGGTTGCTATCAGTCTTGCTGCCTGTTTTACCTTTCCACAATGGCTTGGCTGTTCTTTTACCTGTCCGCACTTTCTTGGCTGTTCTGGATGTGTCCACAATTTCTTCTCGCAGTCTTCCGAATTATCTTTGGTGTTATTCTGCGTTTCTGCTGGTGGCTGAATGTTCCCCAAATAGATTGCGCTCTGAGTGGTGGTCCAGCATTAGACATACTTTGATTTCCGATCTTGCTATTCGAATGAAGGTCCAGGACCCCTGCACAAACCCTAACCACCCCCAAATAACTAATGGGCTGGCCGAAAGCGACAAAACTTTGCAGAACTATCCAAATTGGATTCCGAGTCATCAACGAAGCTTATCGTCGGGTTCCGATTTGTTCGAAGGTTACTCCTTCCTGCAAGTAATACCCCCTTGGAGAAACCCCATATGGTAGGGAATGACATTGCAGAACGGTCAAACGCGAGCGACGTTGTAAGAATGCATGGTGGTCATGAGTCATGAGTGCGGGTTGCCGATGTGCCAAGGGGGTGGCAGCGGTAGGGTGTGACTGCCGCGATGGAGGAGGTCGTGCTGGTGGTCGCGCTGGGTCGAGTCGGGAATGGCCATGAGTCATGATGCAGCGACTCCTCAAGAGCAAGCCAACAATCCCCAAGCAACAGTGCAGTAGCCTCAGCGACTCCACAAAGACACGAGATACCGATAAACTCTAGCAGCTCTAGCACAAACACGAGCGATGATCATCGATTATCATAGTGTGCAGGAGTGAAGAAACATGTAAGAGACACCAGCAGATTAGTGTGCTGCGACGCGGAACGAGTCAACGCATGCAAGACCGCAATGGCCTAAATTATCTTGCAAGTTGTGTGCACATTATCAGATGCAGTGAGGAAGTGATGCGATAGCAGCTTCGTCTTTTCTGTTTCGAAGCTTGCCACCCTAGTGCTGCGTTACAAATATGTTGCATATACTGCATTAATCGCCATGCATGGTCGCTGTCGTCTTCACGTAGCAAAATGGTCGTAAAAACAGCAACTGCAAGAATGGTGCCGGGAGCTGTTCAGCGAAGTGCGCAGTGACGGTGCTCGGAAGATGTGCTTGATGCGACTTGAATTGCTTCTAACTGGGAGGCGAAGATGATCCTCTCGCGATAGCCGAAAGCTGCTGCAAACGAGCAAAGGCTTGCGTGGTGGCGTATTCTGTGGAGGATCGGCAATCCTTTGAAGCTGCGGAGCTTTGGGTGGTGATGTTGAGAGGGCTTTGTGGACCAGGGCTTCTCTTGGCCCTGGCTCAGTGCCAGTCCGATCGCATTGCCTCTGGCAACTCTGGCGCCCCTGTCACAGTGGCAATGGGAGAGTCTTTGGCGGGAAGGTCCGGTCCCCAGCGCGATGGCACGAAAACTATGCAGAACGAAGACAACCCCTAAGAAGGAATGGTTGTACCAACACTAAGAAGCTAGTAAGAAGTCTTGACCGCTTTGCGGCGTTGCAGCATGGAAAGTGCCGCTAAACTCTGCTCACTGAGAAGCTGAGGCTGGGAATTCGCATGTTTGCCACCAGCGCAAGCAGCTTGACAGCGTTTCTATACATGTACGATTCTTTTATTCCGGATGTGTTCTGAGTCTGGCCTGGTGCCTTGGAAACTTTGAGTTGATCTAGAGGTCCTTGTCTTCGATTTGATCTAGAACTGCTTGAAGTCTTATCGTTTATGCAGGATACATCCGGTGCACGTCTCCCTCTGTGGTGCAGTGCATACCCTTCGTTGGCGTCTTATAATGTGAGGATTCTCGTGACGCGCGTGCTCCCGGGTCAGGATTCATTCCGAAAACCACGAAGATCAGCAGTGCTTGGGATTCAGGGATCCCACAAGCATCCACAAGCTAAGGGGGCCAGCAAAAGTGTGCAGTTCCCAAACGCGCCCGTGCTTGGGGGAAAGGAGGTTCGCGCTGGTCCGAGCCGCCGGTGCTTTGAGGGCACGTTCCGGGCGTGGTTCTCAATGCGCCAGTACTTGGGGGAAAGCATTTTGGCAGCGGCCTCGTCCTTTCCTCGTGCGGTCCTGCTGCTCTCCTGGTTTTATTGCGGTTTTTTAGTCTTCTGGTTGTCTCTCGTTGTGGTGTCGTGGTGGTCTCTTGCTTGTCACCTGGTGGTCTCTTAGTGGCCTCCTGGTCGTTGTCGTCCTGGACGCAGTGCCCGTCCGGTGTCCTGGTAGTCCCTTCCTGGTCTCTGGTGGTCTCTTGGTGGTCTCCTCCAATGAGTGCGTTTGGGTACAAATTTAGTATGCGGACTGCTTCCCGAAGGCTCCTGAGCTCTGGGGCCTCCAATAGTGTGCGGAATGCTTCCCGAAAGCGGCGCCTGGAAACAGACATGGCAACTAGTTCGACCTGTGCTTTCCGAAGGATACCTAACCACCGACGGTCGTGACTTCCCGGTTGTAATGGCATGCGTCCGATGTGGTCTTTCACTGTTGGAGGATCTCCGTTGTTATAATAGTTTGTGAAACCAACTGCTTGCCGAGAGGGCTCGCAGGGATGAGTTTACATTACCTGGTTGGCTCAGGGTCCGCCGGCCCGTCTTTGTGCTGACGAATTCAGACTTCAACGCTTCAGGGTTTAGCATACTCAGGTGCAGGAGATGTGTGTGAGATCTTTGACTACGTGGCCGAGGAGACCAGAGCGATGCAATGATGCCTTTCTGTGTCATGATGTTTGTTTCGCATCTGTCCTCATGAAAACACTGACAACAGGAGCTCATGTCTCAGGCGCAGGACGCGGAAGAGCGCTTGCGGAACGGGGAGTCGTGGCAGGGAGTGCAGCGGCCTGGCTTGATGAGTATTATTGTAGCCATTCCAACCCAATGTCCTCGAGGTCATCATGCCGGACAGTCCTCTCAACAGGGTGTTTCCCATTGAACAGTTGGCATGCTGAGTGGTGGAATTTTGAACATTGGCATACCACTGAGCCAGTCGTCATCCCGAACAGCTTGCGTCATAGGTCTGCAAAGAAAGGAGCATGAGGGTGCGAGCTTTGTCAGGGGTCCTGTCATCGCTTTCTTTTGAAATTGCAAGTGTGCGCCCTCAAACTTACATGGGGCCGCCTACTTGTAGCGCTCTCGTGATTTGTGTTCTGGAGTTGCCTTTTGATTTGCTGAAATGCTTGTGTCGCTGTGATGTTCTCGAGAAATGACTCAGACATGAATCTTCGGGGAGCAATCAGTGTGTGTATGGGTTTCTACAGGAATAGCTGAGCGGTGCAGTGTGAGACACGATTTAGTCAACTTCGTATGTCACTGTGTCTCTGGGTGCTTAGCAAACCAAATATCCCCTTGAGTTCTGGCTCTGAGTTCTGTACACGTGGGTGTGAATGGCCTTGGTGCCGATAAGAAGCAAATTGGCATGGTGCGGCAGATCAGAACATGTTGTGGTTCGACTGCCGGTTGCAAGACTTGGGCAGTTAGAATCGTGTAGAAGCTTTGCATCTATGCGTCTGCCAGAGTGGTTGCCCACAGTACGATGTGGAAGCCTTTGTGGAGGCTCCTTGTTTAGACAAGACCAGACAAGCACATCAGTGTGCATTAAGTTGCTTTCACCGGAGCATGCCAAGGTGGGTTGACTCGAGATCTGGCAGTTCTGCGTGGGAGGGAAGGGATGCAGCAAGCTCCACCCGCGACGAAAAGATCCGCAGTATGGTCGATCTTGGATTTGGCTGTAGATAGACAGTGTGCAGTGCATCCGAGAGTGTTTTCGACGCCGGACCAAACCGAAGATCCATAATTGGTTTGCACGAGGCGCCAGCGCCTTCCGAGCAACAGAGAGAGGTAAACCGTGCCTCCGCAGCATCGTGGAGACTCCTTGGTATGTGTTTGGTGCCTGAGCAGTTTCGATCAGAGAAGGTGCCCAGATGCTTCACAGATGTGTTGATTTCTGCTGACCCTCGTTCAAGTCGCGAGGTGCAGTCGGTGCTGAGCAGCCGAAGCAGTGCGCAACCAGTTCAGGTCACCAGGACAGCACAACATGTACTAGCATGCCGTGTGGCACACAAGCCTTCGAACTGCACACCGCCCTGCAGTGCACGCACATGTAGCGGAGGGGTTCATCGCAGAGAGCTTTCACTTGGAAAGGGTCCGATGATGCGTTGAGATGATGCTGCAGGTGCCAGTGAAGGTGCTGGCGGCACTGACATGACTCCGCAGCAGCGGCGCACACTGCGATTGTCAATGTCGGGAGTCACAGGCAAGCGAAGGTTGAGTCTGTTCGGAGGCGTGCCCATAGGTCTATCACGAAGCGATGCGCTCGCATGTGCCGAGGAAGCATTCCTTTGTCTTTTGCGTTGGGCCTGGCTTTTTCTAACAGCATGCCTGAAACAGGCGACACGGAGCTGTCGGACTTGCTGGAGTCTGATGTGATGGGCCACACCACGACTTATGACTCCAGCAGACAGCCATCTGCCTGCTCAAACGCGACATCTACGACACGAGGCCTACAGCTGCAACGACATTGGCATGTCATGTGCTTGTGTTTGTTATTGGTTAGCTAGTGACAGCTAGTGTTCACTGGTCAGTAGTCTTAGTGGGGTGCAGTGCTGCTGCTTCTACTGCTAGTTGCTCACTACTACCATTACTCTAGCCATTCGTAAAATTACTGTATCACTTGCTGCTCCCACCATCAAGACGGCGACAACAGTAGTAGTATTAGCACTAGGACTAGTACTAGTGGTAGTAGAAGAAGAAGAAGAAGTAGTAGTAGTAGTAGGAGGAGGAGGAGGTACCCGGTACCCCCTACCAACTACACCTGCTTAGCAGCATATCATCCATTTTAGTCGAGTTCACGGTACTCTCGTGACGCCATACCACTTCTTGTTGCCTCAAATATCCACTTGTCGACTTTGCAAACTCCAGCTTCTGGTTGTGGTTGTTGCTGCTACCAAACTAGTTTTATTGGGACTTCCTGCCGTCATGCCCTTTCCCAAGAGGCTTGCCGACGATTCTGACGACAGCTGTGGGAGACAAGCCGCCAGCATCCGACAAACAAAGCTCTGCCGAGGAGAGCTCAGCAGTGCCAAGCACAGACAACAGAGAGGAGGACCAGCCGGACAAAACAGACACAGGCCAGCATGGCCAGCAAAGCGACCTGAACATGCCGAAGCCAAAGCTTGGCATGGAGCAGAGCATACAGGTGAAGAAGTGGGAAGCCTTGGCCGAGCCAGAACCAGCTCCCAGCCCCGAGTGCCGTAGCACGTCTGGAGAAATTCCTGCTGGTGGTCATGACAGCCCCAGCTTTGCATTGTCCCCTTGCGGCATGGAGTCTGACGTCAAGGATGAATGCCCGCGCCTTTGTCATGCTTCCATCTGCCATACACTTCGTTCCAGATAGTTTTTGCTAGGCATTCGGCAGAGGTAGGAAGAGTGCGTAGGCAGTAGGAGCCTAGTGAGGCCAGGGACCTCGGGCAAGTGTCAACAACACTCCGGTGGCATCGCAGACAGGCAGAGATTCTTGTTCCTACCATGAAACTGATCTTCTCGGCGAAGCTTTGCGGAACAATGCTGGAAGGTGCAAGCGACGCCGCCCGGGCAACCCCGACACAAAAAATCAGCCACACGGAGGCCAGCACGGATGTCGGAATGCCACCATCGATGGCTGAAGTTAGCGCAGCGCGACACCAGTTCCCGCTTCGTTACACCAAGCAGGTCGTGACAGATCCGGACCTGTGGCAGGCGGTCACGGAGGATGGAATTTGCACCTTCTTGTGGACTTTGTCTTGTGGCAACTTGCTTCAAAGAGTTGAGGGCGACCTGCGCAAGCTACAAGATCTAGTGGCAGCAGGCTGGCCGTGTTGAAAGGAAGCCAGAGTGCCGGTTCCTAGATGCTTCCTTATATGCATGTTTGTGCCAGGCCTGCTTCGCAGTGGCCGCGTGGTTGACGTGAACCGACACAGTATATTTTGGCTGCTCGGAATTGGAATTGCACGACGAGCAGATGGCACACGAGAATTCCTCGTTTCGGTGTTCGTGCGAGCCCGAGGAATGCCTTGGCTTTCCAGCAGATCAAGGCTTGTTTATGTAGACTACGAGTTACAGAGTCCGTCGGCAAAAGCAGAGTGCATGTCAACACGCCGCGGTGCTTGCAGGTTGCCGCGTTTCTGCTACACCATTTCCCACCAGGATCGGATCGGAGACCACGAAACCTTTGATCCAAAGCAAAGGAAGGAGCTGCAGAGTATCAGCTGCCAGGATCGGCACAGGGCGTGGACATCAGTGAGGACACAATCTGAGTTTTTCAACTCGATTCAGCATGTCCGGAGACAGCCGGTAGCTGCAGAATGTGCGAAACCTTATAGTGTAGAAGTGGCAGCTCAGAAGCTTGTTTTGAATCGCCTGCCAAGGTCCACCCACGCCGCCAGGACACACTCCTGCATCTATGTGGGGGCCTGCAGCAGCCAACAGCACAGATCGCAGTTGCTACAGGCTGTGACGTCCATGTTCTGTCTGAAAGGTCTTTACCTTCGCGATTTTTCCGTGCTGGCGCCAAGTTTTCTCCAAATTGCCATGGTGGCAGACGTCTCTGCGGAGACGTCGCAGTGGTTCCCCCACCCCAGGCCTGTGCAGCGGAGGTTTTCCAGCAGCTCTACCTGGGCCGGGGCCCCGGCCATGAGGAGCCAACGTTCAGCCTGAAATTAGGGGGCGGAGTTGTGTGCAACGTGGGGAGAGCCGCTGTCCGGTTCTTTGCATCCGAGGTATCGGACATGCGTGGACCAAGGCAGCGCTGCAGGCGGGCTCCCTCGCGTCCAGAATGACGACTGGTGGCATTTGCGAAGATGCCAAGGCGTATAGAAGCAGGCCTACAGCTACCCAGGACACCTTCCTTCATTGTGCAGCAGCCCCCTCCTTGAGACCCTCGATTCCAAGTCGTCTCTGTGGGCAAGTCGCATGCGTCGCTCCAAGGCTAGGTTGAATTTCTGGGTCTTGCGATATGCTCTGTCGCCTTTGCCTCAGTGATGTCACTCTTTGTTTCAGAAGCTGGATGCCAGGATGAGCAGTAATTACGACGACCAAGCATGAGCTCCGAAACTGCAGGGCGTGTCGCCATGAGGTCAGCGGACGCTGTGTACTTGCTGCAGCACAAGAACTGCAGCAATCAGAGTGCATTGGAGGCTGATTGCACTTGTCACGGAAGCCCTGGCATGTGTAGGATGCTGCCCAGGTGTTAATGCTCAAGCTTTCGGAGGCATTGGGATCGACCGAGTGGCACCATTTGTACCAACGTAGTGCCTGGGGCAGGTGCATCGGTCCCCTTCTCCGTCACTGGTGCAAGCACCACAGGAGCACCACCAAGTCGAAATTTCGTAACACGGTAGAGTTGAGTGCTCTGTCACAGTATTCAACCGTCACGGGTTGTGTACGTTGCGGGGTCGACTACGCTGCCCTTGGTAGATTACCAGGCTTGCGCACCTGCGGCAGTGAAAGCGAGCAAGTGATCAACAATGAAGCCAGTCAAGGAAACCACATTCGGCACACACCTATGTGACAAGCTATGTTTCAGCGCAAGCTGAGGAAAGCATGCCAGTTTGGGGTTGAACAGTCGGAGAGCTTCCGCTGTGTTTCCGATCCGCCACGGCAGGGTGAATTGCGATGATCGCCGGCATGGACTGCAGGTCCAATTTCCCATAGCAAAAAGACCTGCTCCAACCGACCGCAACGACCAAGGAAGAACCGGACTGTTTCGTCGAGAAACGGCTTTTGCACTTTAAAATACTTTACACAAACAGGGGGGCATAGCATCGACGCTCTTCCGGAGTATGTGACGATTGTCCTTGATGCCATACCGAAAGCCAGACAATGCCAGACAGCAGCAAGCAGCATCTTTTGAGAGGTGAGCGTGACTGTTTGCGTGAGAGTGCGTTTGTCCGTGTGTTTGTGTGAGCACGGACACGCATTGCGCGTGTGTGTAGCGAGTCCAACAGTGAGGGAAGCCAGAATTGACCATTCTGGTGCATTTGCAGGGCCTTTCAGGCAATGCATTGCAATTTGCTGTAATTTTTTGTCTTGACGTTTCGGCTAAATCTGTAAGGGAATCATACAAAAAACGCAAGCATATAGCAGCAACAACCACCCAACCACAACCGCCAGATCCGATCATGAAGTCGCTGGAAGCTTCTCTGCTGTTTGTGTGCCAGTGGGTGGTTTCCATTTCAGCTTGAGTGTCTCTCCTACTTTGGCAGGATCATGGGGGGAGCAGCCTTTGAAGACATGACTGCGGTCAGTCCAACCAGTGTGTCAGTCCCGCCATAGGGGATACGTCAGCACAAGTAGCAACAAGCTGCAATTGCTTAACCGATCGCTCCGAGCTCTGGCAGCATGAGTGCAGTGTGCCAGCAGGCGGACCTTTGTCTTTCTGTCCGACAAACATGTATTGCAATCTAGGAGGCTGAACGGCCCTTCGTCGATTTTGGGAAGCCTGCTCCTCAGCAGTGCAGACCTGCAAGCTGCCCGCCAAATGACCGTCGACATGCCAGGTACCTGCCCACGACAGACGGAAGCCAGGATTCCAGGGAGCCCGCTTTTGCAGACGTGGAGCTTGAGGTGCCATGCAGAGTACGGATGGTGCAAGCGGCCACAGTCACAGTCATGACTCCCACTCTGCAATTGCTGCAAGGTGGAAGACAGCGGTGAAGTTTGCAGAGTCCCAGCGCATCGAGCCATCCTTGGAGCTGCCTCGAGCAGGGAGACCCAGCGGTGTCAGATGTCGCTAAAGCTGCCTCAAAACGTTTGTTTTGCCTTGGGTACACGTTTGGCATGAAACACTGCTGCGGATGCTCTCAGCGAAGACCATGACATCAGAGCCCACCGCAGCCGAGCAACAGAGCCAGTTATGTGATACATGCAAGTTCGTAGGCAGGGACTTGCAGGTGCGCTGCTGCAGGCTGCAAGCCTCTAGAGACCCTAGAGTCCAGAGCAAACCCTGAAGCAGAACTCTGAAACTGTGCGCAAGCATGGCCCCGGCTGGGTGAGGCCAAACTTGCTTCGTCTCTCTAGTTCTGTGTAGCACTGTGCAGCCGTCTCGTCGCAGCTTGGCGGCTTAGCCCTTGGCCGTTCTTGCAGGTCATGGGCATTGCGCCCTGTGCAGGGGAGCAGCCCAGAACTCGGACGAATTTTCGATGCAGTTGCTTTTCGAAGCGATTGGCTAAAGTTTGCAAGTTGCAGTCCCAACTGAGGTGTTGCGCATCAGAGTTCGGTGCCTTTTCAGAGGCGATTTGACCCGTTTTGACCACGCAGATGCCGAAAGCTTTCGAACAAGAACTGGTGTGTAGGTTGTCTAAACCGTTTTTTCGTTGGCCTTCTGGGCCAGGTGAGACAAGAGTGTGGCTTCAGGGAGGAGATCGTACCTCAAATAGTGAGGCATTCCGCTTTGCGATGGCCTTGGAAGCGTTCTCCGAAAGAGCCAAATCTGGCACGAAAACGAAACAGCAGTATTGACATCGAAAGTGTTGCTTCGAGTCTCAGGGAGCCGAAGCATGAGAAGACGCTGGCGCAGTGCCTGGTGGAGCTCCCAGCTGCTTCGAGCTTAAGGATTTTACATCAGCTTTATTGCACACAACAATAGGGACAGTGTAAGTGCAGTACCTTTACTTGCGATTTGTCCGATTCGCCGGTCTCAGTGTGTCTCCTGCTCTGGCAGAGAACTGGCCAGAGGCAACCTCGCCAGCAAGACACACCGATGCCGGGGGCCTACCAGCGGCGATTCAAGTCAGATTCAGGCAACACCTTGGCCGCTCAAACTGCAGCCCTGTCCGCAAGAGCAGTATTCGCATTTCGACCGTAAGCATGGCACGCACACTTTTGTTTGTACTGGCAGGAAGGGAAAATCGATGGCTTTGATTTTTCACTCGACTCCGGGTGTTGTGAGGTTTTCTTCAACGGCTCTGGCGTCCTCGAGCCCAAAGGCTCACCGTCCACATCCTCTCGGCGAAAGGATCGAGAGGTGCCGAGGGCTGCCGGAAAGTTAGTAGACCTGGCTTATGTCACTTATGTTTCTTCCGGGGGTAGCGGGATGGTCGGAAGACACAGTTCAAGCCACTAGTAAATATTCGGGCAATACCAGGATGAGTGAGGCAAGTTGTGCGAGTAGCGGCAGAGCTGCTGGAGGTTCGGATCTCAATGCGACAAAAATGGTACAAGAAGGAGTTGCCTCAATCGCTGATAATGTGCATTGACCCGGGGAGCTGGGTCCCCCATTTCGTCCCACCAGCGAAGCTCAAATTCCGAAGACCACAAAGGCGATATTGTTTGCAAGGAACCTAGGTAAGCTCGGCTGTGTGCGTGCCAGAGGCTGTTCGAGGATGAAATTCGGTCGCGCAGAGAAGTCTCGAACGAAGTCAAGAGTCGCTCCCGCACGACGCTGACTTCGAGCCGCAAAGACGAGATTCGGCCCGGGAGATTCGGCACCGACGAGCTACGTTCTGAAGTGGAGAAGGGACGGGAAAGCCGCCTCATGCTCCGACGAAGCCCCTTGTCGGAAGGGACGGCCCCCTTATTTTTGCGGGAATCGGGAAGGGAAGACGCCTCGCAGGGTTGTGCTCCCACGCTGCGGCCAGCATTGCGCTCCGGCCAGAGTATCGTGCGCATTCAGCTTGAAGGTCTGGTCTAGGGGGCTTCCGGGTGGTACTGGACTGGTTCCTGGGTTTGTGCGGTACGTTTTTGACTGCTACGACAGGAGCTGTCTCATTTTAACGTCTGGGTCTCCGCCTAAAGATTAGATGCAGTATTGCAAGCCCTAAACCTTAACAACTCTAAACACTAAACAGCCTAAACCCCGACAGCCTTAAAGCCCTCAAAACCTTAAAGTTTGTAAACAGTTAAAGCTAGCCACAACAGTCCTAATCCCCAAAAGCCGCAAACCACATCCTAAAGACCTGCAGCCGAACTAAAAACCCGAAGCCCTCAACACCCTAGTCCCTTTCAGACCTATGCGCCAACAACTCCAAATCCTCAGCCTTAGACCTTAAACCGTATTTCCAAGAAGCCGTAAGCCCAAAACCCTTCTCGAAAAGCGGGAGGCCTAAAACTATAAAGCCAGTTCAGCCCTCGAAGCCATAAGCCGTCGAAGCCCTAAACCCCCAAAATGCAAACCCTAAACACCCTTAAACTAAGCCCTAAGGGCCTAAACCCGACGAAAATCCCAGAATCCCAAAGTGAGTGTGCCTTTCGAACAGCCCCAAACGAAATGGTAAAGAAAGGCCCCAAAGCCCGAAAACCCTCGCCTAAACCCAAGAAGCCCCAAACCCTGAGAACCCTGCCCTGAAAACCCCAAACCCTGTAAAGCCTCAGACCTCAACCCCAAACCCCAGCCCCTGAACCCTAAATTCTAAACGCGGCTCTGCTCGGAGTTTGCTGATTTGCACCTGTGTGTTGGTGGACTCAGCCCCACCTTGGCGGGTAAGACGAAGGATGTTGATAGGATTCTGCGTTTGGCGATTTGGTCCTTTTGAAGTCTCCCGGCCAGTTTTCCACAGGTCGGTGAGCGCGGAGGGCCTCGCTCTCGTAAAGCAGCTTGTTGCAACATGTCACTAATCTATGTTTCTGTATCCGCCTCTTAGTTTTTTGCTGTCCTGAGAAAGGTGTTCAGATCGTAAAGTCGTCGTGGACTACTGTTTATAGTCACATGCTTGGCTCAAGTTCAAGGTGATTGGTGCTTATTTTGCATTGTCTTTATATTTTACCGTGCGAAGGATCTTGGATTTGCTTTTTCAGGCAAAGGTGCAAGAACCAGGCCGCATGCCCTACTCAAGTCCTGCTGGCCCTAAAGCCACCAAACCGTCGATCTCTCAGCCGGACAGGCCTCTCCAGAGTTGGAGGCAAGCGTGTTGCCGAGCAGACCGTTCGAACTAGTGAAGTGTTTGCCATTGCTACCTTGCTTCATGCTGCTAGGTGCTGTTCGTGCTGATATTGAAACTCTTGCAGTTTCTGTTGCAGTGCTATGATACGATTATGACTTCTCCTGTTGTTGATCGGTCAGATAAGCTGTCGTGGAATCATCATGGCTATATGATGCTATGAGCAGCATCATCAGATGCCACTTGGGTTGTCATTCTTATTTTGCCATGAATATGTGCCTACACCTCGCAGTCGGACATTTGTTGATTCAATTCCACATCTGGTTGGCAGGAGGACGGTTCCCCAAGAGAGGAGGAACGAGAGGCACGGCATTTTACATCGCTTGCCAGATGCAGTTCGACGTGCTGGTCAGGTCACTACACTGCGCAAGGCACTTAGAAGAGATCGTTTCATTACTGGTAGCGATGTTGCCTTGACTCCAGCCTGCAGCGGGCCGATTCACCCCACGCTTGGCTGCATGCCTTCACACTTGTCCACATCGGAGCTTGAGGCATGCTACTGAAGCGTTTCGTGCAGGAGACGGTGAGGCCGTCGATTGCCGTCTTTCGATCACCTCCTGGAGTTACATTTCAAACTGTGCCATTTGGATCACTTAGAAGTGGAGCAGGAGCAATGCTGAAGTTGATGGAGACAGTTAACGTAAAGTAACTTAAGTCTACTGAAGACAACGAGCCTTTCGAAGACTCTCGGAGGTAGCTTAAGCTGTAAAGTCACTGTGAAAGTGTTACATGTGCGCTGGCATTGGGAAAATCCGGAATTGTTGTGCTTTCGCGGTCGCAAGCTGACCAGGGGCCAATCGTACCAAGTCCTCGTGCAGCACTGAGCCTGCTCTTGGGTGAATTATATTGCCGAAGATTAGCCTTATCATCCGTATCCTTCCACTTCTCGCAGGTTGCAGACGGCAGCTCAGAACCGTGCAAGCTTGTGCCCCAAGAAGAAGCAACTCAAATTTTGATGCTTCCAAAGTTATCCGAGAGAATGCGGATGTGGCTTGCTCGAGGCTGCTTCTGGCACCCAACCTCCAATACTTCCAACTCGTGTTGGATTCCAAGTACATCCCAGCAACACAAAGCTTGGAAGTCTAGTCGTGGATAGTCATGGTGCCTGACCTTCTCAGCTGAGGACCGATGGCCGCGATGACTTGTTTGATAGTGCATCTGCCGTTCCTGACATCCAAGTCCAAGACAATCGTACAGTTTCAGACAGTAGATGTGCCAGGTGTAATCCACGATGTCCCGCTAAAGTCCATCAAAGACATTTGCCTGGGTCCGAGACATGAACTGCTCGTCGTAAACTGCTGCTTCGTCCTGTCTCGACCAGTGCTTGTTTGTTTTTTTTCTTCTCCTAGGCCCAGGAAGGACCATACAGACCAAGCACACGCCTGTCGATTTAGCCGCAGCCCCAAGAAGTAGGCACCTGTGAAGTGGTTTGCTGAGTGTCCTACAAGCCCAACAGCCCGCACCGAGGACGATCATTGTGCCACCCTCGTCTTACGTAACAACGAGTGCCAGCATCTCGGATTCATGCCTCAAGATGGCTGGGGCTGCTTCAGTGCAGGATGGAGCACGAAGTCTCCATGACAGCCATAGTCTCGCCAACCCAAATCTGGCCGCCCGGCCACTGCTCGCAGGTGTCACTTTTCGCTTAAGCTGCATCCAAGAACGGGATGAGTTTATCCGGTGTGCAGCAACCTCAGCAGGAAACCCCCAGCCTATTCTGCTGATACATTGAGGTAGCACATGGTAGATCAGCTGCTGAGGTGAAAGTGCTGGCTCTTGCCATCGACTGAACACGAATTTGGCAATGTAGCTTTAGACCGACAAGGCTGTGCCACAGGGCACGACATTCGCTAGCCAGCTCTGTGCGAAACTGCGCGGAAGACTGCATGTGTGCTGTCAAGCCCAGGGCAAGAGTCCCTCTGAAAGAAAACTGACATGTGTGAGCATGCGGAATCCTGAACCCTTGCCCCTGCAGTAGACCATACTTGATGTCGAAGTGTGGAGATATGTGGAGATGCTGGAAGCGCCATGCTTCCAAGGCGTTCTGCACGAGCAGCTTGTCCGCTGTGCCCCAGGAAGGCCTGAACTCCGATGCCTCCGGGTTATCAGAGGGTATAGTTAGTATAGAAGAAAGCATTGATCCTGTTCCTTCTTTTCCACGAGGCATTAATATTCTAATAATCTTTGCTTCTCCTCCTGCTACTGCTGGAATTGCTACTGTGGTTTCATCTTGGCTTCGGGAGAGCTACTTCCTCAGGGTTTGTTTGCTCGACAGTTTTCAGCTGCCGGGAAAGCGGGAAAGCGGAAGGGGTCCATGAAGAAGGAAGTATGCAGTATGTATTAAGCACGACGTAACGGAATAGAAACACCAAACAAACGAAGGAAGAATCGACTCACAGCCGAAACGTGTTGTCTGGCCTGGCACGTTTGAGGAAACAAGCAATGCCTGCATACGGCCCACCTGCATCCACGCCCCGCCCGGCTGTTCTTGAAAGGCCGGGCACACGCAACAACGTGCAATGCTTCGTGTACTACAGAGGTTTTGCAAATGAGTGCGGCTTGCACGGCATCCAACCCAACGGCCTAAACGGCCAAAGCCTCCAGAAATGCAAACCACCTTGGCACCCGAAGGTAGGGGCTCCGAAAAAACACATACGAGGATGAGGCTTCAGATGGGAACACGTGGCGACTTCCTGCTGACTTGTAGTTCCACCGTCGTGGGGGATTGGGGACGGCACTTCCGGGTGTTGAACTGACGGGACAGCCACGACTTGATGCAAGCGAGATTTCGTGCGTGGCCCCAGGCCCCAGTGGCCAATGCAGAGCGATGCTCAAGTCGGCCCAACAGGCCTTGAAGGAAGTAAAGGAAGTGTTGATGCAGCAGAGGATTGCAACACAGGCATCATAACACTAGTGATCAGTTGTGATGGACGGTAGAAACAGTGGGTTCCGTAGCTGCATCGGTGCGTGTTGCACATCAAGATGACATCTCGCTCCAAGGTCCAAGGGCCGGCAAAACATGGCATAACGATTTTCGGCCTCTGAGGAACCGGGGGCAATGTCGAGTCGTCGAGACCCCGAGGCTCCATGAAGCCGTTCACCGGCTCATGGCATTGCGCCGGCAGTGGGACATTGCCTTGCCGACTTCGGAAGTGTCCCCGATGTGGGGAGGGCTACTCGTGGCGAAAACCTGAAGATCCATGAGAAGCCGACTTCGTGCAGGTGGAGTGGCGTTATACTGTGGGTGGAAGAGGGTGGGAGGGTGGGAAGCCGTACTGTAAACGCCGCAAATTTTAACACCACAGGACCACACGAGATATTGGCTGACAAACCCCAAAGCCTGTAACGAAATGTTGAGTGGGAAGTCGCAAGCTTGGTTTGTCTAGAAAAGATGTTGGCTGACACACGGTAGCAGTTGGGCAGGAAGCGAGCCAAGCTCGTAGGAGAGATGGTGTGGGTCGAAGTCGGGAATCTACAGCTGAAAGGAGACATTGGATGTGGAACCTCATGTCCCAAAAAGAAGCTGCTGTCTGCAAATCAAATAAATAAATAAATAACATTGAATATACCTTCGCCGGAAAACTGGATTGTCCGAAACGCTGGCAGGGAAAGTTTGAGCTTAGGATGTTTGAAATGCCCTGCGAAATTGTAGGAAGTAAGGAAGCGCACTAACATCGCTAGGACAGTCTTGAAATTAAAAACTCTGGCGCTGCCTTGGGATGCCTGAGGCAAGTCCGAGGACATGCCACGGGATCACAAGCTATTGAAACACTCGCAAGTTTGAATCCCAGAGAATTCAGGATATCGTGTCCTTGGAAGTCCCACCGCCGGGAGGTGTCACAGGATTCTCCGCAAAACCCGGCACCTCAACGAATGGGTAGCACATGCATACACCATTTGCAAGCGCCGATAGCTGTCGATGTCTGCGTTGCCAGGCCTTTGCGAATCAACCCGCTGTGTTGCCACAGCAAGCAGGCAAGACCCTCACACCCCTCAATCCGCACTGCATCAGAATCTTTGTGTTTGACACATTCTGACATCGTTCGTGTCACAGGTACTGCTGACAGCTCTTGGATTTCTCTACCGCTCTCGCTTGCACTGCAACTTTTCGGAGGATTGCCACCCGGCTGCTCCAGAATGGCTCTTGCGCGCTGCGTTTGCTTGCAGGACGGCTTCTTGTTGTGGCAGTTGCTCTGCCTCTGCACGGAGTACGATCTGCCGAAGCCGCTCTGGAGGTCCATTGCAAAAAAAGGGCAACACACCAGATTGAAAATCTTAGAAGCTTCGCAAAGGTATGCCAAGGCCGCGCTGCTTGCAGCAGTCACCCAAACGAGGCTGTGGCCTGTGCCAGTCATGAGGGGGTTCCACTAGCTGAAGCCAGGTACGCGCCAGTGCTTCCAGTCTTGCTCGAGGCCCCCACCTTGCGATGTGCCCCCTGTGTCCGTGTGCGTCGATCTCAGGCTCGAGCACAGGTTGGTCTCGACCAGGAGGAGGTGCCAAGAATTTCCCACTTTGCTGTCTCCGAGCCGTTCAGTTTCGGCTTCAGGCCGCAGCTATCAGCTATGCACTGCTGTGCCATCACGAGGCACAAAGTAACCGGGGCAATTCGAAGGATGTTCTGCAATCCTTTGGACTCCTGGTCACATTTGCTTAAAGTCTGAACTTGAAGAACCACCAGTAAATGAGCTCCTCCCCGACCCGCATCGCACGGAGAACGAGCGCTCTCGGGCTGAGGCTGAGCACGGACGGGCTAGGCGGCTACTCCAGTCTTTCACATGGCGATGCCTAGATAATCCAAGGGATCAGGTATCCAAGGGATAGCATGTTGATCCTTGCTTGTCCGAGTCCGAGTCTGGCTGCATCCACGAATTTACTCATCGCATCCAATCTGTCAACATAGAGCCTCATTCAGTCCGCCGCGATTTCGGCTAAATGATGCATTTCCTTCTGTAAGAACCACCTGCTTGGATGCATTGTCATGCTTCTCTTCCACGGCCAGGTGGGGCTGAAGGGCATGCCCATCGAAGAGCAATCGCAGGCTCTGCAGCGCTCGCACACCTCGCAGTCGTAGCTGATGAGTATCAAGCAAGTCTGTGTGAGTCTCAGTGTGAGTCGCATTGAACTCCTGGTCGGCCTCTTTGTCTCAAGCCCCTGCCATGGATAAGCCGGCCAAATGCATCCAGATGCGGGGTGAGGCTGCGCAGGAGTTGCCCGAGCTAGGCACAACACGTGCCTGTCGGCATGGAAGATGACGTTTCGGTATCCTCCCGATCTCCCGCAGGCTATGGAATGCAATCTGACCAGTTCTTTGTACTTGTAGCTCAGACACGGCTGTCGTCCTTGTTTGTCGTCGCTTGCTCATCCGTGTTTTGTGCACCGCATGCCCCCATGGAACGTTCCGCGACAGGCGTAGACGGAGATGCCGCCCGGTCTGATGATAGCTTCCGTAGTTTTTTCGACGTTACGAAGTGCCTCGCTAATTCTCTTTCAACAAGTCGGTAATTGTAGAGCAATGCGAGAAGGATCAGTGGGAGATCCACGTGGACACTTGCGAGGAGCTCAAACTGGCAGCGGATGTAGTGCGTCTCGGGCAAGAATAGGCAAAGCTGTGCAACTGCTTTCTCTGTACACCGAAGAAGCGACATTGAACGTGATTGCAACTCAGGAGGGAGGTCTCAGAGACGTGGAGTGCTTTCGTGCAGACTTTCGACACTGAACAAGCGGCTGGCTCGGCACTCAGCTAACTGCTTGGTCGCCCGGGCAATCTGCACAATCCACGCACCCGATTACACGTGCTGTTTCTATGTAGTCTATGTCGGAAGCCCCAAACGCGCAATTTTCGAAGTACTGTCCCGCATTGCTTTAGACGTGAGGCGACACTACTCGAAGGCTTTTATGGCGTTTCGCCAATCCTGATTAGCTAATGTAGCTGATATGGCGTTCATTCAATTCCCGCATGCCAACCTTGCGATGCCGGTAACATCCTGGCCATGGTGGAGGCAACAGAAACACGTGATCTTGTTGGAGCCTTCTGGCCAGCCTGAACCGAAGAATCCTTGCCTTAACAGCGTAGCCAGTCTCCAAGTTAAGGTGAAGCCGCGTTCAGCGCAATTTTTGATGCTGCGCCTTCCTTGCAGTCGCTTTTTCATGGGCCTCGCGCTGTTCAGGCACAAAAGCTCCCAGGTTGCATCCAGTTTCACAAATAGAGATCTGATGAGGGGTTCCCGTGTCAGGTTTAGTTAGGGAGACACGTAAAAGAGAAGCAGTTCGTGATAATATGAACAGGCTAGGGGCCCCAAAGTGCATACATTGGACATCCTGGAATGTGTAAGTGTCGTTTTGTGCCGACTGTGCCCTATGATCCTTCAACCAAGGGGCCAGAATTTAGAACAATCATCGAGTATCCAAGGATTTGACGAGGTTGTGGTTGAATTTGTTGGGGAGTTGGCTTAGCCTTGCTGGCTTCTCGGCTTTTTGCTTTTGCGGCTTCTTGGCTTTCCGGGTTTTCTGGCTTCTCGGCTTTTCCGGCTTCTCGGCTTTTTGGATTTCACGACTTTCTAGAGGGTGCTACCCTGTGCATGGGTGGGAGGGGGCACCGGGCAAGCCGCCCCCATGCCTAAGCCTAAGCCAAGCCAAGCCGGTTTCACAACTGCTCCGCATGCTTCAGGCCGAATCGACGAATCAAAACATTCAATCTGGTTTACAGGGTGCTGCCCGAATGATATGATTTTTACAAGGGGAATGCCTTTGAATGATCCTGGTTGGAAGCCTGTCGCTGGCAGATGAGCTGGGTCGCGGGCAAGCCGCGCCTCCTCGGGAGTAACTGAAGCCAAGCCGTGCTTTTGTCACGCACCAGCCCGCGCAAACCCACACGCACCAAATACCAAATCATGTCTGGGGCCTTGTTGGTTTTCAGTTTTGTGGACGCACTAAGAGGCTGAACGTTGTTTAACAGCTGCAATAGTTGAAAGGCACTCCCTGAGCCATCAGGTTCGTGCTGAGCCTTGGCAACATCATAAGCAATCTCGACCATCCAGCTGCCTTGAAAGTTGAGGCCGGGACCCCAGATTTGAGCTAAGGTCTGGCAAACCTATCATTCTTGATCGTGACTCCTACTGCACCGAGGTTGAAACTCTGGGGTTTGCCCATCTCAGCGTGGACATAACAATTCCAAGAATTGCGCTGTTCCGAGATGCAATCCTCGATTTGTTTGAAGCGGAGCTTGGCGATGCATTCACCCCCACTGCAAGGGATGGATGGGGCCAGTTGCTCTCGTATGTGGGGGGCTCGCAGATATGGATTCGGACCCATTTCTCTGCCCGGTTAAAGGTTCTGCAAGAGAGCTGGAAAGCAGCCAACAATCGTGAGAATCCTCAGGTCTCTGACGCTGAACGCCAGAAGCTGTTAAAGCAAACCAAGAAGGATCACAAGAAGAACGAGATTGAGATCGATCCTGAAGTTGCGAACACAGACAGTCCGGATAGCTCGGAAAGCAGCTTCTCAGGGAACACTGGTCACACCGTCCTGGGAAATGCCAACAGTACGAAAGTTATCTCAGACAGGCGACGGTGCGGCAATTGCCTCGGCACCTTGCTGAATTGCTGCAAATGCTGCAGCTTCGGGAAAGAAGCGAACCAGAAGGACAAGCAGGATGACGGCATGAGGAAGGAGAAAAGAGATCCCAAGCCAAAAGACACTCAGAAGTCGGGTAAGTCCCAGCTTCAAGCGGCAGACGTCCCGAGAACTTTCACAGAAATGTTCCAATGGAATTGCGCGGTGATGGGCCTGTCTGGACGAAGGTGGATGCAGGAAATATTGGGAAGCTTTACCTCAATGGTAGAGCATATTGCAGACATGAGACGCTTGCAGCAGGAGTGCAACATCGTGTCGATCCGTATTGCAAAGGTGACAGCAGCCGGTGTGAACTGGGTGAACCTGTCCGAGTTTAAGTCCTGCATGCTGGCCGCTTTGCGGTCCCTCCTCCCGACGGTTTGGGACACAACGCACGAAGTAGCTTGGAACTGGCTTTGGGACAACATAGAGACAATCCTGAAGTCAACCATGGGCAAGCCTCTGGTCTGGGAGCAGTCACTTGTGGGGATGTTTGCCGCTTTGAGCGATGAACAGCTCTTCAACTATCGTGTCCAGCTTTATGAGAGATTCTTCGCTACCGTGCCGGCGGGTCAGGACTACTTTAAGCAGTCCAATACACGCTTGCACTTCATTGCCGAAAGCGCCACTAACATGTCGCTTCAGCTCCTGCAAGATCCGTGGCGGATGGTCGATGATGTCTCCGCCCTTGGGCTTCGTCACGTCGGCTATGGCATACCGACCGAGATGTTCGGACCTTTTACCGAAGCGGCGGTGGAGGCCCTGAGAGGACACGTCGATGAGGCATTGGCCCTGGAAGCTTTCAATTGGTCCCTGTCTATCATCTCACAGATGCTCGTGCATACTGTAACAGAAGGCTCCACCATTGTCATGAAGGCGATCAACAACAACTCGGTGTCCCAATTGGTCAAAGCTGTGAGTTGCGCCCCTCGTGGCGAGCGCTCCAACTGGGTCTTGATTGTTAAGGTCGGAACGCAAGACATCTCACCCTTCAGATGGGCCATCGAAAGTGGCAGCTTGAGCGCAGCAAAGGCCATCATTGAAGACTTGCTAGCAATCAGAGCAGATCGGCAAAGATACTATTATGGTGTCGATGACCTGTTTCAGCGCCATCCGGACATCATCAAGATCCTCTGCTCCGAAGCGCCCATGCTGCTGCCGACCCTGCTGGAAGGCTTAATTTGGCGGTCGAGAATAGTCACCCAGGGAGCGCGACGAGTGAATTACTACGTCAAGAACCTTGTGGTGGCTGGCTCTGACGGAGCGTTTGCGGGCGCTTTGCCTGCCCTGGTTGCATTGGGCGATCCCAAGATAATTTCTCATGTTGCAGTTGACCTTGTGGCGAATCTGCTGTGGTCCGGCATTGTTATGCATGAGTTTATTACTTCAAAGCTGTGGTTCATTGCCAGCCTTGTCATTCTCATGGTTAGCCAGACACTTCTGCCAGAGTACCGTGAGTCTTTGGAAGTTCGGGTGGCGACTTTCGTATTGCGGGTCCTGACATATGTGCTGACGTTGCTACGGCTGCTGGTGCAGCACTCGCGGGACATCTTCCTGGCGTACTACCGAAAACAGACGGTCCGGAAATTCAAAGTGCCGTTTCCAAAGTATCTCACAAAAACATACGACCTGGTGCCACGCCTGCAGTTTCAGACAGGCTTCCTGTTCCGACTGTCCACAGTGCACACATACGACGAGGATAATCAAAGCTGGTAGTGCTAGATGCGTCAATTATTCTAAGCACATGCCGGAAGCTCAACGCTTAAGCCAGGCCAGCTTCCTGCTGCTGATCTGTTTGATTCTGATGTGGGCCAACGAGCCGTTCATTTGGTGCTACGACGCACACGAAGCTCAGATCACAACTGCTCATGATAAACCTCGCTAGGCCTGTCTTTTCGTACAAAAACGGAACGGAACCCGGTGTTTGTCGGCTTTTGCCCAGTCTGGGCATGTGAGGATTGGCCGACGGAGTACTGCTTGACCTTCGAGGAGGGCGGTTTCATATACTCCGTGTTGCTCGAAGTTAAAGAGGTACGGCTTTCATCCGTGGTCGGAGAAGACAAGTGCGGATAGAGATAACAAGAGAGGAACTGCTCCGAGGTTTGCCATGTGTGCTGTGGGACTGCACTGGGGTTTGATGGCGGATCTTGCCGTGTTCTCAACAGGCCGCTGGAGGGTTGCTGTGCATAGGCTCAGCTTTTGAAAAGACGGACCCTGGGCCCTAAACGGCCTAACCCAACCCGCAGCTCCATGTGAAAGGCATACCCTCAGGACGAGCTGGAGCCCTGTTGGAGCAGCAAGCTACGATGAGTTGTTCTAAATTCGGGTATTGCTTGCGGGTCCTAATGCCAGCAAGCAACTCCAAGCCCCGACTTTTGAACAACTGGGCAAGTTATGCATGTAATTTGCATGTACTTATGCAGTGCTGGAAGGTCTCAGCGCCTTTGTCCTGGTATGCGTGCATGTCGGCTCCGAAATCGGAAGGTTCATGTTTGCCTTAATGTTTCTTGACGGTGCTTAGCAGTTGTTTTTTTTCATAACTTTGTTTAACTTTCTTTTGACTCTCATGTCCTCCAAGGTTTCTACTCACAGCATTTGCATCATCAATCACGGTGCTTGAACATCACTATGAGGACATGAAGACGGTGGGCGACAGCTTGATAGCTCTGACAGGAATCACGCTTCGATTGTACGAGGATGATTACCGGGACTTACAGAACGATGCATTGCTGCTAACCGCAGTTTTTTGCTTTGTCACAGCTTCTGCCATTCTTTTGCTGAACCTCCTTATTGCTCAATTGAATTGCTCGTATGTCTACATTTATCAGAATATGCTTGGCTATGCGAAGCTCAAGCGGTCTTCGGTAACCGTTCAGACATTGGCATTTCTCAAGATGGAGCGCTGGAGTCGATTCGTTGCTACTTTGGGCTTGGACGTCCCACTCGAGTTCAACGAGGGAGATGTCGGCATGGCTGGAGGGATTTGTGCACCTTGGCGTGCGTAGCATTGAGTGTCCTTAGACCGCTTCCTGGGAGCTTCGCAACTTCGCCTGACTGTGCTTTTGGCCTCCGGGCTCCGGCTCAGGTCTTTGAGCCGCCGAGTCAAAGCATTGTTGCAACGGACCGAATCCTTCGCTTTGGCGGCTCTTGCTCGCCGGATTTAGAGTGGCCAGCAGACACGACCAAAACCGGCATGGATGCCGACGAGGTGGGTCGCATGTTTCGATTCGATCCGTTAAGTCTGCCTTGCAATCAATGGAACAGTTATGGATTTTGCTTGCTTTCTGTCTCCCAGTCCCACGCAAGTAAGATATGTTGTCAGGAGCAGTTGGAGGCCCTGGAGCAACTCCTGCATACGACGCTTAAGCAGTTGCGCAAAAGCAAGAGGGGCGAGCATGGTTCTGGATTCAACGCTTCCAGCCAAACTGCTGAGTCCGGCAAGGGCCACAGTGGTTATAGTGGTGTCAGTGGCGTGAGTGCCCTCTCATCCGACTGAATGCAATGACGAGTGCCCCAATCTTCCGGATGCCGCCAGATAACAGATGTAATCAGACTAGCTTTCCGTGCCTACATTCCGGCAATTCCAGTAGTCAGGGTTCTCTCAAAAGCAGAGGATTCGCGAAAACGTGTAAACTCAGAGGGCTAAGCCCGACGAAAGGTGATCCAGTTCATTCTTCGCCACCGCCCACGGCTTGGTGTTGCAATGTAGCTCATTCCAGAACTAAACACACACAAGGTGCAACAAGGATAAGAAGACTGGTCAATTGAGGCCGTGGGTCAGGTTGTGATGCACATAAAGAGTCAGCGATTCAACGCTTTTCAATCTTCCTCGTCCCGACAGTCATGACTCTACAAGGATAAGCACTTCTATGATCGTCCGTTGGACGCGTCGGGAAGATGACACCACGCACAGATGTTGCAACCAGCAGCACAGAGTTGTTTGGGCTAGCAGGACATTGCCGCTTACATATGTGTCAATGTGACATCAGCACTTCCACAATTCACATCATGAATTCTCGCCCGCCTGAGCCCTGGATGGCTAGCAGGTCAGTCATGGCATTCCTTGCGTTGCCAGATTAGCCAACGACATGCATGTTGAAGGCATGTCGTTGCTAGTATCTTGACGTCTCACAGCGTGACGCGGATCTGGTTTCACAGCAGACGATTCATGGATCACCATGCTAACGAAAAAGCTGCCGAAGGGCCGCAAATGTCTGTCTCAGGGTGAGCTGCAGCTTGAGAGCGAACATGAAGACTTTTCACCAGATTCGGCGGTGCATGAGATGCCGCTTCCCGCAGGTGATTCTCATTGCTCTGGGCATCGTCGAGCACTACGTTTTGGAGCTGCCACCTCAGTCGGGCCTAGCACAAAGCGCCTCCAACATAATCCCAGAGCCTTATTTATGCTGGCGACCTCCTTAAGTGCATACTGCAAGAGGATAAAACCCCATGTTTATAAGCCAAGGCCACCAGGCTGAAGCTCGGGAAGCACTCAGAACCCCGGCTGGCAGGATGCGCTGAATGCCGCTTGGGGAGGTTGTTTCACCCCTTCTTAAAAGGCTGCAACAGCAGAGATTGTTTGCGGCAAACTGGCTTGTGCCAAATTGTTACGCAGGTTGCTTCAGCCTACAATAGGCAGAAAGCAACACACTCATGCCGCGAATGCCACTAAGTGGCTCGGCAGAAGCATGGATAAGTGTGGGCAGGCTGCTGTCACGCAGCGGTGCGCAAACACCCTCCCCTGCATAGCCTGCAGTGATGTTGGCTGGATTCAGAGCCATTTTAATCTATGATGCTGCTTAGGCTCACTGTCAGGTGCGCAAGAAGTTAGCAGAGCTTGGCACGAAACGAAGCATTCTCCAATTTCAAATCTTCACACCTTGTGGAGGCCTTTCGTTTGTCAGCTGGTCTCAATGGCAAAACTGCTGCAAGCAACGCATCTGACGAGGTGCTGCCTGGGCAAGGCCCTTGATGTAAATGCTGACAGGAAGGATTTTCCCAATGCTCTTGGTCGGCCATGAGCAAAATGATCATTGCAACTTGCGCTCCTGTCAGTGAAAGTTCAGCTGTAGTCTCTAAGAAGAAGGTTTTTCGTCGCTTCCTAGCCAGGTGTTGGCTCGAGCTTTTTTCTGTGAGTGACCTCATGATGGACGCAGGCTGTTGAGCAGAAGCAGCCGTCGGCTCCCACTTGCTCCGGAATGGTGATCGAAGGTCAGTCTAGCTTTTTAGGTGTTCGCATGAGAAGCAGTGCGACTTGATCCCTGAAGGTCCCTTGAAAGACAAACTGGAAGCGTTGAAGTTCAAGCCGACTTCGCGACGGACGGGGAAGCCCTTGGTTGGCACGGCCGCTCCAGTTGCCGGCGGGGTTCCGGCCGCAGCCCCTGCCTCGCCGACACGGCCAGGTGGAGGCGGTCTTGCAGTTCATGTCAGTGTGAGGTGCCGCCCGACCGTATCCGCCAAGCAGGCCGTTGACATTAGCTCCGAGTCCCTTGGAGGTGACAAGGTTGCCTTGAAGCTGACGTTGCCCAAGCCAGGCAATGAAGGAGAAGATGACAAGACACGGGCTGATGCGCGGACATACCGCTGCAACACCTACTACGGGCAGACGGCGTCCCACGAAGAAGTCGCTTCCACAACGGCATCCCTTGTACAGCATGCAATGGAAGGTGGCAACGGAAGTATTGTTTGCCATGGTATCACCGGAAGTGGCAAAACGCACACCATGTGTGGAAGTTCAAGCTCTCCTGGTATCGTACAAAGCGTGGGCAGGCGCATGTTTGAACATATCCGAGATCAGGTTGCCTCTGGTCGAGTCTACATGGTAGAGGCTTCTTATGTACAGATATTCTCACAGGATGGCTCCTCAGAGCAGCTGATAGACCTGCTCGCCGACGTTGAGAAGGATCTCGAGGTGAAGCAGGATCCACGTAATCCACTTTCATACGTTTGCGCAGGCCTTCAACGTATTCCCATCAGGTCTCCCGATGACCTGCAGCAGGTGATCAGCAAAGGCAGGGCGCGAAGCCAATCAAAAGAGGATGCAGGCATCGCAGCTGCCAGGTCGCATTGCATGTTCATCTTGACAGTGGAAAGTATGTCAGAGCAGTCTGCAAACGGCGACTCGGGAGTAAGCAAGGGCAAGCTGGTCTTAGTTGACCTAGCCGGCTCTGAAAGTCTCCTGAAAACGAGCAGCTCAGATATTGCCAGACGTCAAGCCTTGGGCATCAATCGAACGCTGGCATCTTTGAGCATGGCTGTAAACAGCACCAGCGGAACCTCGGCTGTGAAGGGCTCCTTTTTGACCCAGCTGCTTCGAGACTGCATGGGTGGCAGTGCACGAACCCTGGTGATTGCAACGATCGGACTGGAGCTGGAGGATATCGAGGAGACAGTCAAGACACTGACATATGCGCAGCAGATGATGACCAGCCTGACTGTTCGCACTTCCAACGCAGGTCTGAATCGTTGCTCGGAGCGTTACAAGTCCATATGCTATATCGTAGAACGGTTGGGGCTTAGACTGTGTCAGTGTCATCTTGCATTACTAATGCTGTTAGGTTTTTGTTGTTTCTGCTTTGTCGGTTTACTTTCTGGCCCGGCTGCATGAAGATCGTAGAATGCAGCAGAACGATTTGTGGCGTTGTAAGGCATAGATCAAGACCAGAGCTCGCTGATGCAGATGCGGGACAGACACAACGAGTGCATCCGGATGCTCAAGGAGAAAGTGAGCGATTCCAGGGAGGAAGAGCAGGAGGAACGTCGCAGGCCGAAGCCTGGGACCGGGGGAGGGGGGAATCGGAGATCCCTGTGAGATGGAGTGTGCAAGGCTGCAGCATGAGATGAATGAGATCAATCAGCGCCTTCTGACCAAAGACTCAGCAGAGCAGACGCTGGAGGACGGACTTGATTTGTGCTTCACATCGATGGAGTACATTTAGACTTCGTTGCCATGGATCCTGCACAGGAGATGCGGCAGCAACAGTTCAGCAAGATGGACGCCATGCGCTCTTCGGCAATTGAAGACTGCACTGCTCGGCGCAGCTGCACCATTGAAAGCTTGAGCAGCGAGGTGCTACACTGCCCCTTGAAATGACCCAGGAACAGAAATCTCGGAGGCCATGAACAACCAGATGGAGCTGCTGAGAAAGCAGTCTCAAGTGGAGCTGGAAAGCTTGCGAGCAAGCGTGGAGAAGTCGCAGCAAGAATCAGAACGTGTGCATCTCGTCAGGTTGGTTGACGCTGAAAGAGTTGCTGTTTCTGTCCTTGTCTAGTGTGCGAAGACCGGGGCCACAGTCGATTCAAGCATCAGGTCTCGGTACTTAGGAGTCCAAACCTCGAAGCGACGATGTTCCCGAAATCTTCACTAAAATTACGGGTGATCGCAAGACGAAGCGAGCAGCACCACAACGCCCAGTTTCAGCATCATTCCTCGTAGTACTGTTATGCCGGCAAGAACCCGAACACAGAGATGCAACCCTCAGAGCATCAGAGCATGACTACCGCCTTGTGCAGACGTGCAGTTCCGAACGAGAGTAGCCGACACGGTGCGGGTGAAGTCAGAGGCGAATGCATTTGCGCCTCGCAGTGGCCGTGCAAGAACAGAAAGCAAGCCTACCTTCTGGGTTTACGCGAGCTTGGTTACAACTGAAGAAGTGAAGACGGGGTGGAGTAAGTCCGCGTGTACGCTGCTAGTTCAGCCGCGTGTCTGGTGCCTGTGGTGTGACACATCTCGGTATGCTTTGGCGCTTGCAATCTGAGGAAGAAAGAAGCAGAGGCTGGAGTGGTCGACGTTTGCTTTCCTGCGTGCTTCGCAAGTCTTGACTTGAGTGAGGCACACGAGGCTGCAGTCGTCAAGCTGCAGGCATGGGTTCGAGAAGTGCATGTTTGTAACATAACAACTGGCTTAAGATTCGCCCAACAGGCCACCCTACAAGATGCGCAACAAGCGCGGAAAGCAGCTGAAGACGAGGTCGGTCCGTGTGCCACGCAAGCCTATGAGAACCCACAACTTGCGAGTAGCTGACAGGCCTCATCTTTGAAGGTGAAATTGGCGACGGCGGAAGAGCGAGCCAGCATGCTGTCGACGAGACAAGAGGCCTGCCTGCTCCTGGTAGAACCCCTCAGACTCCCAGGTGGCGGCCAGGGAGCTGTGTTGCAGTGTAGGAGTTGCGCAAAGAGCGTGCGGAGTTCGATGAGGAGAGGAAGCAGCTCAGGCTGGTGACCGGAATAATCAGAGAGCTCAAGACTTGAGCGTTTGAAAGTCCAGGCAGCAAGGAGAGCAGCAATGGCAACGGCTAGCTGCAGTCGAAGCCGAGCTCTCGAAGTTCAAGTCCGAAGCAGAGGCAACGGCTGGTGTCGCATCAGAAGAGCTGGCCATGCTTGGCCGGGCTCTAGCTGTGCAGGTCCAGAAGAAAGAGATCGAACGGCTAAATGCAGCAAGATCAGAGGTGCCAGTTTTCATCCTGGTTTTCTGCCAGTCCCGTCCTCACACTGCCTCGCTTGGCTGGGTCTCCAAGAGAACCGGTCGAGCAGCAATATGTAGCAGTTGATGCCGCTGGGCCGTTGCAGGAGAACGAAGGCATCCGAAGCGAGCGGGAGTCTTGGAGATGCAGGGAGCGAGACTTGCAGGCGGAGGCTGAAGCGGCCTTTCGTGCAGGGGCACCTGCCTTTGGTTCTCGAATCGTCGCATTGACTTGGGATTGTGGTGAGCAAATCCTGGCAGATTCTCCAGTCTCCAGGCCCTAGACCCGAGACGAGCATCACGGGAACAGTAAACCATGCGAGCAGAGCGGAACGGTACATTACATGACAGTTTAAAAGCATGGTCACGAAGCACGTGCGAGTATTACCCCTGTCATTCAATTTGCATGCCTCCACTTGTTCTCCCGGCGTTTGCAGGTTGCGTCTTTCAAGAGCAAGCTCGAAGAGACCAAAAGAGAAGCAGAAGTACAGGCCAGAAATATCATTGCAAGCACAGTACATCGTCCCTGGGGATTTTGTCAGACTGACTGGCAGATTTGTGAGGAGCTCAAGGTCTCTAGAGACCATGGGGACGCGCTGTCCAAGTCGTGCTCTCAGGGTATTTTGCAGGCCAGATCAGGCCAGTGACGGATTACGTTCCTAATCGCTCCCTTGCTGTTGCTTGCAAGCTGGCCCGCCCTAAGTTTTGTTCAAGCCCCAGGCGCACAGGTGACGCGCAGACGCCAGAAGCGTTTGTGTCTGTGTGTGCGAGTACGATGAAGAGCGTTTTGACGGCTGCTGTCGTGGCACTATGCTTGACCTGCTGTGTTTCTGGGATGGCCTGCACGGACCAGGACAAGCAGATTTGGTCTCAGAAGGGCTTGGCGGCGTTCACGTCCGACATGGAATCCTGCGGGCATGAGTGCGCGCTGAAAGACAA